CTTCTACTCTTTTATAGCCCAAGAGAAATAGGTGACAATCAAGACGGTGAATACACTCATCAAATAAGATTGGACTTCATTATTTTATGAATATATACAGATTAGGGTTACATGGACTATGATAATTTCCAATACTACTTGAGCAAGCAAGAATATTAAGATGCCATCTTTTTTAGTCATTTTCCATAAAAAGTATGAATCCGACAAGTGACTACAGCACCATGAACTAATCGTTTTGTTTGGCAAAAACACTCAAGATATTGATAGCGAATTGAGCATAAATGTTTAAGTTACTATATTTTGTTAAGAGTACTATTTAGAATAGACTAATAACTAAGCTGATTAAAAGCAGTATGAGATTCAAAAGGGGAGCTCTAGTGCATTCTAAAGTTGCATAAATGAGTTGCAGAATGTACATCCCAATAATGGCTTATTTTTTATGTTTAATCATTATATAATTAAATTCAAGTGATTCAACAATTTCAAGAGTTCAAACATTGTAACAGGTTTGTTGATATAGTATTTCATTCCCACAGAATAACACTTAGTTTTCGTTTCTACGTCGCTGAATGCAGTGCATGCAACAATGGTATTATCATTGTCAAATTTTAGAATCTGTTCTGTGGCCTAGAACCCATCCATGATAGGCATATTAACATCCATAAAAATAACATTAAATTTCTCATTAGCTAAATATTTAAATTTACAAATATACATTCTTTTATTTTGTTTACTGCTTCTAATCCATTGAAAGCAGAAGTGCATTTGATATTGAACTGACTAAGTAAGATCTTCAAACTAATAATATTGATCATCTCATCATCAACAATTAAGATATGAGGTTACTCCCTAATCGTTTTAACACTAGCTATGTCAGCAACAGAAGCCCCAAAAGTAGGTGACTATTTTTACCCTTCCCTTTTTCTAGTGATAATGCGTTGTCTTATTCTCTCAATAATTTCATTATCCTATTTCAATTCTGGTTCAACACAATCAATAATTTAATTTGGCGAGAACGAAGCTGATAATAAACTTGATTTTTTAGTCAATGTCAAAAGTAGATGATTGTCAGCAGGTTTATGTCTATTCGTAAGTTGTAAGTCTATTACTGATTGACGAGAGTCGAAATACCCATTTTCATTAAACAATATCCCTGACTTTGCTGATGATATATCACAACTTGTGTAAAATATTTCGAAAGGCTAATTCTTCACTCGAAAAGAAACTCGGATTCCTTTTTCTAATCTTACATACTTCAGACCTCCACCTGCTGTTACTGGTAAATTCGATAATTTCAAGGCAATTTATTGAGATAGATAACAACCCAAGCCAAACCCAGCAGTGTGTTAGGAAATCTTTTATTCTGACTTAAACTCGGTTTCTAAAGTTTAATTTAGATTATCAAAAGTCTCTTAGGTCATTCCGAATCCACTGTCTTCAACCGAAAATATTGTGAATCCAGATTGTTCAGTCACTGTAATCTTAATTCCCCCTGAGACAGTAAACTTCTGAGCATTTGCAATTAGATTACTCAAGACTTATTTACATCTTCGACCATCAAAGAATTTAGCTTTCTCTTCCAGCATAATTTAATAAGTTATGATTAGACCCTTCTCTTTCAATTTGCTTTTAATAGAACCCTATTACTTCTTAGAGTAAGTCTTCCACATCAACAAGTCCAAATTACAATTAGAATTTCTTATTTAGAATGTCACTATAGTCAACCATGTCTTATACGAAATGATGCATTATCTATCCTGTTGATTTTATCGGTTGGAAGAACCCCACTTAATTTGGGAATCTATCTATGGCCACCTAAGACAATGCCAACAGATAATTCAACAATGTTCCGAATTCATGAGAGAATGTTTTGAATAGCTAGTATAGAATTTAACTCAGGTATTTCTTCTTTATAAATGTGTCTCTTTCGTTGACTTGGATGAATTGAATTTCAAATTAATTTTTGTAATGAACCAAAATTAAATATTTCTGGAATAATGAGTGGTTGTATTCCAACACCTATACCTGGATCTCTGATCTCCTGCTTATAATCTTTTTCAATAAGGACATCAAGGTATCTTCTCTCCATTTTCCCAGTTTCCTTTCAGATACGGAATCAATATTGATTATTTTAATTTCTTGCAATAGGTTATTAGGGTCGTCATAATTGAAATAAGTTAAAATCTCATTCATCTTCTTATTCGATTGAATCACACTCAGAAAATCATCTAGAATTATTTCTGGTATGTTCCCTTATCGTTAGGTTTACGAAGGTTAAGGTTACTAATGTTAAATGACAATTTATTCAGTTTCCATTTTTATTGTTATTTGTTCTGTTTGTTTCTCAACCACTTTGCTTTACTACTATCTGAAGAAAACTTGAATCTAATATCCAACAAAGAAAAATGTAACCATCGTTGTGCGTATGATGTCAAATACTTCGAGTTTTGTACTCAGGACTCCTATCAAAATAAAAAAAACTAATTAATATGAAAGTATTACTTGAAAATTCAAGGTAATTAAACATTATACTCTTAGCTTATATTATTTATCTCATTATGCATTGGTAGAGAGCCATGATCGCTAAAAACTTAGGATCTTTAAATATTGAAAATATTATTGATGTTTGGATAATTAGTAACAATCTGATCAAGTATTGATATTAATTCCTCATAGTCAAAGCAATTAAAAATACATCTATACTTAGAGATATACTCAAAAAGACGTATTCAATTGTCTGTTCGCATTTCCAAAATTCCAAGATGTTAGAGGCAATATTGGTGAAAATTATCAATATCATAATTATATTAGTATTTTTTATAATCTATGATGTTCACTGGCTTATTAATGAAAATACAACATGTAATATCCTAATCATACTATTGAGTATGATTATCTTTATATGTAAAGTCAGCATCAATCTGGCTTTGATTTCCATAACCAAGCCTATGCTATTATGGCTATATTGACATTAAAAAAAATGAAATTTCAATCTCCAAATATTTTTGAGACTTCAATTTCTATCAATTCTAATGTTAACTTATGTCATATTAATATATTCTAATAAGACAAATGTGCAATTTCGTTTTTATTTTGCGAGAAAGTAAATACCATTTAGTGGAATATTCATTTTTGAAGTTTACTACTACAAATATTGGGTAAGATAAAAAGATATTACCATTGCATATAAGATTTTCACCTACTTTGTTTTATGTTAATCTACTAAAGGTAAATTCATTTTGGATTTGTTTTGTTTTATTTGAAACTCTGTTTGACTTAATAGGAACACAATATTCTAACTTTTATAAGCAAAGATATAGATGAAATTAAATATAAAGTTCTTAATTTAAAATATATTATTATCAATCAATCTTTCATTATATGTTTTTTTTCTTTAATTCATCGATTTGTGATTTTATCCAGGGAGGTAAGACTGCCTTCTATTTAACTTTTATTATATCCTGAGCATCAAGCAAAGCAGCCTAAATTCCTCCTTTTAGATGTACAAGACGTTTAATTCGTTACTTAAGTAAATAATCCATAATTTCTTTTACATTCTGCTTATCAGTATCGCATATCACAACTATATAATAAATGCTTTGTTCTTCAACCAGTCCTCTCAGTTCGAAGTAGTTTAGTAATTGAATATTATTTATTTTTTTTTTATCATAGTATGCAAACAAGGAACCAGTTATGCAAGCCTATTCATAATCCTTAGCACTTCTCATATCCAAAGATAAGACATTGAAGGATTATTTTTGTTCCCTCAACAATTATTGGAAATCATGAATGGAAATAGAAAATGTCTATTGCTCTTATAATTACTTAAATGTTAATGGATGTTCCCATGGTCTTTCTTATAAGTACTCGTTTTCCTCCTTCATTTAATTGCAAATCTCTTCATCCTGATGAGTGAGAATGAAAAACGTTTTATGCAATTAAGTTGAAAATTTGAGGGAATTCTACAAGCAATTATCCAATTGTATATTATTCTAAAGATTCTTGAGACAACTGAGCATGCCTTCACTATCTTTAATTTCAAAGGTTGATTTGAGTTCCAACATAATTTAACATGCTAACAGGATTTCGAATGATTCATCAGAAATTAAGAAATAATCATAAATTTTCATTACATTCTCTAAGTTGAATTCTCTGGCATAAAAAGTACTAAACCAAGAGACAATATGAGTCTCACACTTGAAGTCAGTTTCCTTTAGATGATTGCTTAATCCTGGATCAAAATACTAGAGAGTCCAATTGTAAAGTAAGATCTTTTCCTATAATTTTTATCCGAAATACTCACTAATTTCCACTTACTCTTCTTCTGGTGGTAAATTGACAATCCTTTTCTTGTAGATCTCATTCAAACATATTGTACTGAGTTCGGAATCATAATTAAAGGCTTCTAAGAGGATATAAGAAATGGAATCCATCCCTTATATATAACAATTTGAAACAGACTAATTGATAAATCCTCTTATTGTACTTCTTATTGCATCCTGAGTTCTTTTATTGTATTTTTGTCTGTTCAAGTCTTTTTCAAGTTGAATGATATCCTTCTATTTTTAAGCATTCAAATATTCACATAATTCAAGTGTCAATTATACAATTTATCGTTAGGCTTCCAAGGATTCAAAACCAAGTGCTCTTGGCCAAAATGCCTTTCTTATGTTTTACCAAATTAAACCAGACCCTCCCATAAAATGAATTACCTTAGAAATGAAGGCTTAAAAGGCTTTCTCAGAGGCCTAGGATATCAATTTTAACAATAAAACCTAAGCCATATAGGTTGGTTCCTAAGGGGCGAGTACCTATTCTTACATGTCTTCACTTTTCTATTCTTGTTTTTTAAACCATTTTCTGAATAAAAATTATTGTTTCTTAGGTTAGACCACTTGATTTT